TAATAGTACAAAATATTTTGTTCAAATAAAAATAATTAATTATCTTAGCTTTTGAGTAAGTAATCATATCTGTCTTCGTTTAATCTTGCATAGCAACCAGCTAAACCCTAAATTAATTACTATATTTCTTTTTTCAAGCTTCTGAGAAAAAATGCCAGAAGGTTGCTTTGAACATTGGAAAGCTAAACCTCGCATTCCTTGTAAGGTTTGCAATAAGCCAACTAGCGCTGAACCCGGTCTTTGTAGAGATCATGCTAGTGGATACTATGTAACCCAATATATTAATAGGCTTCGGGATAGAGCTAATGCTGATGCTAATACTAATGCTTTTATTTGAATGAAAATCGATGAATTGCTTCTAGAGCTGTCAGTAAACAGAGCCGAAAAAGCAGTAGAGCAAGATCAAGCATCTTCTCTGCAAGGTTTGTAGCAAGCTGACTAGCTCTGAACCTGGCCTTTGCAGAAAACATGCTAGTGTTGCTATGTAACCCAATATATTAAAAGGCTTCGGGAACTGACTTTTTGCAATAATTGCTTAAAGTCAGAGCTTCGAGTAATAAAATCACAAGGCCCAATGACTGATTACACTGCGCGTACTCAATCTGTCTTTTTTTCACACCTTAGTTCACCCATAGCAATTTAAGGTTAACAAGGCTTCGGGTAGGTAAGAAAACGTAAAATAGGGTAACAAAAAAGTCACCCAAAGGTGAATCTATTTACCTCCTTTAATAGCATACTAAAATAGAATAGCAATATAGGTCAAAAAAATATAACAGAAATATTCACTTCGCCTTAAAGAACTACACTTATATTTCTATTATATTTTTTTGACAAGGGTATCTGCATTGCCCTAAGGGCTTATGCTCCTGCCTCTTTTTCAGCTATCTATATAGTATGCTATTAAGAGGCAATTTGATTATATTATATGCAAAAATTTTTCTATACTTCTAGTCTGTCCATAGCAATTTAAGAGTAACAAGGCTTTGGGTAAGTAAGAAACCAAATTAACGAACTTAATATTAACAAAGCTTCAAATAGATAAGAAAACAAATTAGTGAACTTAAAGTTAACAAGAGTTCGGGTAGGCAAGAAAACAAATTAGTAAACTTAATAGGTAGAAGGCGTTAGAATACATTCTTGGTATATAAAAATTTTCACCATTATATAGATCTTCTAATCCAGTTCTAAAGCCAAGTAGGATAGCAAAAAATATAGCATTTTTTATATATGATAGTGAGCCCAATGAGGGTGCCAAAGGATTTCCACAGGTATAAAAATTTACACACACTGGTCTGCTGGCTCTTCCTGCTGCTAATGTTCAATTTCACATACCAAATTCACATTAACATTTTAAAAACTTTTAATTTCAGTTTCCTTTTCATGAATAAGATTTTCACAACATTTAGAAGCTTTTAATGTTCTATTTACTAAATTGATAAGATCTTCTAAAATTTGTTCATTAGATAAAAATGATTGGTTTTCAAGATTTTGAATAAGCTGTTCAAGCTCATTAATATTATTTTCAGACATTTTAACAAATAAATATAGGGATTTATTTTATAGTGCTATAGCATTGTAGTGCTATAGCACTACAGTGCTATAGTACTATTAATAAAATTTTAT